TTTCTTTTTTTTCTTGATTCTTTACTAGAATTCTCTAATACTCTTTTGAAAACTCTTTCCTCTTGGTAAATTTCATAGGTAATCCTTTCTTTGTCTAAATATGTTTGCAAAAATTTGGTATCTGCTAATTTAAAAATGTAAGGAGCAATTTTTTCACCTTGTTCCTTTTTCAAAATACTTCTGATGGTACTATAATTCTTTGGTTCCATGGTAGACCTAATGTAAATTAATTTCATATTGTTATTTTTATATAAGGGTAATTCTATATAGCACTTAAGAAAAAGAGAAAATGACAAATGTGACATGAAACTGTTAAATTATAATCACATTACAAATGACTAATTTTTGATCCCTGAAATCTTTGGTAATACCAATGTTCACTTTGTCTGGTTTTGTTGCAGTATGCCCCATATTATGTACAGTATATTATTAATATTATTATGTTTATTATGTTACAAAGAAATTTCAGGGATCACTTTGTTGCAGCATGCCCCATATATAGTATAAATATGGCTTAGAAAATTTGGAAAATTGAGAAAATATGCCACAACAAAAAACTGGGATTTCCACAAGTCCTTTATACTCTATTAATGATAATAATAGTAAGAATAAAAATAGTAATCCGTTATCATATGAAGCTACTACTTCCTCTTCAACTACCAACGATGCTATAACTCGTGTGGTGGAATGGAATGATAAAATGGAGATTGAGTTTTTTCGTGCTGTAATAAAAAATAGACCTGTTGGTATGACATAAATGATAGTTTATCGATTAATTAACAAAATATATATTATATGTTATATAAATAAATATATTGTATGCATATGCATAGGTATACATAGGCATATTCGAATGTTAGATATAGCGAAAGAATTCAATTCAAACAGTCCTGTAAAATGTTCTATTTCAGAATTATGGGAAAGATTTGGTTTATATTTCAATATACAAAAACTCGAAGAATTAGTAGGCATTTTAAGAAATAACTTAATAAATTCAATTATTTCAATTTATGCTAATTGGTTTTTTTGGAAAAATATATAAAGGAACATGAATTTGATGGTGATGATAATGATAATGATCAAGAAGAAAGCTCTCTTTTCGAATTTAATTTACCAATGGATGAATATCACAATCTTATCGCAGAAAATCGTAAAGCAGGAGGATCTTCACGTGGTGAATCACCTTCTCCATCATATATAAAAGGTCAAAGAGGACGTAAAGGACATTCCAGAACATCATCACTCACTGTCTCTTTAGAATCTTCACCTGAGCCTGAAGGTAGTTTATTAATTGATTATTTTGAGATTTTTTAAAAAAAAGTTAGTTAACATTTAATTATTTTTCACTCACTTAGAAACTAAAAAACCTAGAAGAACTCGGATTACAAGGAAATCTGACATTAGCCTTGAAAATAATAAAACATTGAATAAGCGAGTTAGCAGATCAAGAAAAACTTCCGACGCTATTTCACCTACACATAATCTATTATTATAATCACAACAACAGTTTTAACTCATCACATACTAATTAAAAATAATAATAATTCTCTTTGTATTTATATAATAATTAATTTTAAAAATATAATAACTCCAAAAAAATAAAAAAAATAATTCCAATTTTGGCTTTGTGCCATATATGTGCACAACTTGAATATAAAAATTTGACAAAATTATTAGTAAAAAATTCTTTAATCCACTTTTAAAACATTAAAATAATATATTAAGATGGATAATCCTGGAATAATGGATCCTTCAGCATCGCTTTTAAGTATTCTTCATAATACTGCTAGCAATAACAATAACAATGATAATAAGACAGAAATTACTACAATTACTACTACCATAAACACGACTATTCCGTCTGATTCTAATGCAACCTTGTCAATCAGTCAGAACTTAAGTCAAGAAGCCACCTCAGAACCACCAGAACCACCAGAGCCACTAGATATAACTTCTAATCCTGGCTCTACCACGAATTTTACTTTTACTCAAAATCAACAACAATTTGGCCCAAGTAATTCTTCTACTAGTTATCTCTCTACTCTTGGTATTATTTCCTCTACTTCTTCTTCCTCTTCTTCTTCTTCACCCTCAACAACTATATCAACAACACCGCCGCCGCCGCCGCCGCCACCTCCCCCTCTTCAATCGTCTCTTGCGGTTACTCCTACTACAGACTTCAATGTTTCTAATGATACAACTACAGACACAACCTTTACAAATACTTCAACTATTGTACCACCATTAGAAGCTTCAAATATTGATGATACATCAATTATCACTACTACTACATCGTTACCACCATCTTCCTCTTTCTCATCACAACAAACTCAATATACCGTATCATCAAATCCTTTAACTTCTTTGTTAAAGAGTTTTTATCCTTCATCGTCATCTGTAACAACAATAACCACCACCAGTGGTGTTGAACCATCATCACAAATTGTTTCATCCTCATCTTCATCTTCATCTACCTCTGCTATTCTTGGTGGTGGATCTTCATCATTTATTGATCCAACTTTAAATGTGGACAAATCATCAACTGAAGGTCTAAAGAAAGTCCTTTTTGGTCAATTTTCTATACCACAAAATATTGAAGAAAGGTATTTCTATACACTTTTAATTATTACTCAATTGATTTATTAAGTAATTTATATTTTTTATGCTTACATAATGCTTATAAATATATTTTATAATATTTTTTTGCAAAAAAAAAGTCAACAGCCTACTATTTTCCAAACAACGTCCGAAACAGTTGATATTACTACTCAGGACATTAACTTAGATACTACCAAAGACACTAGTTATCCAATTCCTTCTGAGGAATCATTTGCCGAAATGAATGAGCCATTATCTGATGATAATAATATTAATAATAAATATTCAAATTTGGAATCAACAGAACAATCTTCAACATTATCGTCAACAATAATACCATCATCATCTACTACTTTAACAAATACTACCATCACTACAACAACCACCACTACTGCAGCAACAAACGACGCTAATAGTAACAATAATAACAAACCATTGTTTACTTATAAAAATCCATTTGATCTTTTTAAACAACAATCTCCACCCCCTTCGCCTACCTCTTCCACTTCTAATCCTGATCAACAGCAATTCAATTCATCTTGGTTTTCTTCTCATAAAAAAAATGAAACCCAATCATCTTCATCTTCATCACAAAAAGAGAGTGGTGGTATGTTACCAAAACCATTACACAGTGTTGAAACACATCTTTCAAGTTACTCTGCTTGGAATGTTCGTGCTGTCAGTAAATTAAAACAACAGTCAAAGTATGCTGTATATATTATTTTATTAGGATTATTATAAACAAAAGCAAATAGATTAATAATATATATCTTTTTATTTTTATTTTTTACAATAATAATAAAAAAATATCATTGTTAGTTTTCCTGATGGTGTACGATTACCAAGAGGAGTTCTTTTATATGATACTGGCAATCGTAATGAAAATGTTTTGTGTACAAAAGATTTGGATCTCACTACAATAACACTTGTTTTAAATGAATTGGAATATCGCTCAGGAAAATTGATAGCCGTTAATAATTCTTTTATTTGTTATCATATTAAAGGTTAGCATTATTTGTTATATTATATATATACACACACACATATATATGTTCTTTCATTGCTAATTTATATTATCTTATTAGGAGGAAAAATTCGGGTTATTGATACTTTATTCGGGAGTAAACTTTTATTAAAGAGTCAAGATAAATCTATAATTGATCTATGCATTCATCATGTTCCCTACGAACCAAAGGATGCGGATAATGACAAATCTTTTAAATATTTGCTTCTAGTACTTGGAGAGAGTAGGATTACAATTTGGGAGCTTTCACTTTCATCAGGTGGATCAGATTCAGAAATATTGTATGTAAAAATTTTCTTCTCGATATTAATAATTAATTTAATAATTAGTTAGACACTTAAATTTTTGCTTTATATATTTTTTAGATCTAAACTCTTACTTGAAATTGATGGTAAAGCTTTGATGGAAGATAACAATAATCAACCAAGATTTCATAGAGCAATTTGGCATACAGTAAATCCTAATATCTTTGCAGTGGTAGTTGATTTTAATGACGTTTGGATCATAAATATTGCAAAAATATTATCAATAAATAATAAACCTTCAAATGTCAAGGTCAATGAAACTGATATTGCTGATTATGTTTTGAAAACAGGAAAATATGGAAAGTTAATTAGCGATTTGGCATTTTCACCCGATGGATCTACTTTAGCAACTGCAAATGATGACAGTGTTATTTTTTGGAAATCGAATTTCAATATGAATGATGTCACCAGCAATGATGATAATAGTGACGAATTTAGCAATGGCAATCTTGATCCTATCAAAAAAATAATTTTAGACGGGCAACAAGTTTCCTCAGTTTTGTTTGTTGATGATAGTGATGATAATAGTAATACGACTTTAGAACATAATAATAGTTCATCTTCAAATTTCCGATATGTAGTTCTTGGTACTGAACTTAACACTAATCTTCACCTTTACGATGTTGAAACAGCTCAATACATTCAATCTATCAAATTTTTGCCACCTCCACCGGAACGACACGCCTTCTCCACTAAAAAATCATCTAATAGTCGTAATAAAGAAGAACAACCAATGTTCAATTGTATTGGTTACGAAAGAACCAATCGGACTTTATTAGTTGGAAATAGCGCTAGAGTCTCAATATTTGCCTTACGTTTGAATCTACCCAGTCGTAAAAAACTAGATTCGTCATCATTTGATGATTCGGTCCAATTCAATTATATGATTGAATTTCCAGTTGGACAATTGATTGGAAATTTTGTTGTTATCCCAGATGCAACTAGTGGAAATGGCGTTTTAACATTTTGTACTCAAACAAAAGCTGTTCAACAATATCATATTCGTAATGAATTATTACTACCAAACAATTTCAAAGAATGCCCGGAATTTGTTAGTGCTGATAGATCCTTTGTTGATGATGATGACGACGACGATAAACAACAACAATTAAGTGAACAAGATTATGACGATGAAGATGATTTTGAAGAAGATCACCAAAAGAATAAAGTGAATGATCATTTTTTGCCTGAACCTGTTGCTACATTAACAACGTCATATTCTTCTGAAAATATAAATCATCATCACCATAATAACCATCATCATCATCAATCTTTCACTGAAGATGAAGAAGAAACTATTACAAATGATGTTGATAAGAAAGATATTGGTGAGTAAATTTAATAATAATAATATTGGATAATAATAACAATAACGATAATAATTAAACATTTGAATCATGCATAATTTTTTTCTTCATTGATGAACTAGAAGGTTCATCAACCAATAGAAATATAATTCTCGAATCATCTTCTACATCTTCTACCACCGCCATATTAGATTCAAATAATAATGTGGAAAAAAATAAAGAAACCAACAAAACCAATTATGAACAAAAAACAACAAAAAATGTCACGGAATTTGCTCTTAGTAATAATACCATTGCCAAATTAAAAGACAAAAAAAAGGCCACAAGTTCTTCTAACCAAAATGTGATAGAATTCCCTTCTGACCCTGAAAGAACAACTACAAGAAGAAAAGAACAACATGCTAAATCATCTAGCAAAAAAGGTGATAACATAACAACGACAAATAAATCTGGTGGTGGCGGTGGAAATGATAATAATAGTAGCAAATCAAAAAAGACAGAAGAAAATTCTAGAAATTCTGGCGGTAAAAGTTCTGCATCAGGAAAGCAAAATGCTAATAATAATAATAATAATAATAATGATCATTTAAATTTTCAATCACAATCACAACAAACTACAGCTTCATCTTCATCATCATCTACAACAACCACATCATCATCAGCGACTTCCCAAGTCCAGATGCAACCATTTTTAAAAGAAATAAAAAAAATGGAAGATACTGTTTCCAACAAGCTTGGAAAACTATTTTCTAAAGAATTGGAAAAACAATGTAATGAATTATATACTTGTATTATTATTATTATTGTTGTTGTTGTTATTTTTTTTCATGCTTTTTACTCTTATTTGACTTGTTTTTTTTTTTTTTTTTTTTGAAATATTACTAGTTCAAAAGATTGAAGAAGATCGTATTGCTCATCAAGCAGCTGAAACGTCACGTCAAGAAACAATTTTAAAAGTCGTTTCACAAACACTTAGTACAAACACTGCAAAATTATTGGAGACGACAGTTCGTAATGAAATTCAAATTAATGTTCTTCCGTCATTAAGTAAGATGGTCAACAGTGCAATAGATAAGCATGTTCATAGAGGAATAACTGAAGCAATGAATAAGGTATTCTTATTAAAAAAATCATATAAATTTTTTGTGGATATCTGATAATTTATCTATTATATTATATTATATATTCAGAGTATTCCAAATACCATAGAAAAATCTATCTCAGATCAAATACAAAGGATGCTAGCAAAGAATGCAGTCATTGAACCCATAGCTAAAGGAGTATCCAAAACAATAAAACCAGTGATCGAAGAAAACTTTAGAGATTACTTTGAAAACATAATCGTTCCAACATTTGAAAAATCAACAAATTCAATGTTTGATCAAATCACTTCTATGCTTGAATCTGGTCTTCGGGATATTAGTATTAGTACAACCACTCCACAATCGTCATCAACAACAGTTCTTCACGATCAAAATGCTACAAATAATATAACAAGATTACAAACTTCCGTTGATCATCTTACTTTGCAAGTACAACAATTGCAACAATTCTTGCAATCACAACAACTAATTACTAATTTAACAACAAGACATGTTGAACATAATCATCATGAACTATCATCGAAACAACTGCCACAGTATGCACCATCATTGCCACCTCAATCACAACAACAATTACCACCTTTACCACCGCCGCCACCTCCACCACCACCACCACCATTACCACAACAACAGCCACAAAAACAATCAAGTCAAAACTCTGATGAATATCCTTTTTTTTTATCAAAAAAAAATTTTTTTAATAAAAATAATTAAATATATTTATTGAGATTGTTATACCCTAACCATTCATTAATTCATTCTTAATACTTATAAGCATCAATTGGCCCGTTCATTATCAGGGGAATTGAAACGGATTTTAATTCCTCAATCTTCTTCAAATATTTCACAAACATCCCCAATTACTCAGACAGATCCTTATCAATATCCATCATCATTTGCTAGATCTTCTTCGTCTCAACGGCATCCTTCTCATCACAATCAGCATCAGATACCACCACCACTACCGCCGCCGCCACCACCACCGCCACCACCACAGCAGCAGCAACAACAACAACAAGTACAACAAGTACTGCAACAACAACAACAACTACAACAACAAGTATTACAACAACAACAACAACAACAACAAACACAACAACAAGAAGTACAGCAGCTTCATCACATTAACTCTCAATTATTTGCTGCTATTGAGCCTACCACTCCTGATGGACTTAGTGCTGTTTCTGCTGATCGTCTTTTAGAAATGGGAAATTATGATGATGCTTTTGCTACAATTTTAGCAACACATGACCTACAATCTATTCTTCGTTTATGTAGCAAGGTTAATCCTAGTGTTATATTTGATTCTTCGAGTAATTTAGTTTCTCAGCCTGTTATTCTTTCCCTTGTTCACCACCTATCTATGGATCTTCATAAATATCAAGAATTTAAGTTAAATTGGCTGGAAGAAACTATCATCAAACTTAATCCTAAGGTAACAAACAAACTAGAATACCACTAATTCATAATGTATATGAATGAACGCGAGAAAGGGAAAAATCGAGTAAATGTTAATTTATATAATTTTTAAATTATTATCTAGGACCCACTTATCAAAGATCACTCTGAAAGGATTTTACCAACAGTTAAACAACGTCTTGAAGAGCGTTACTTTCAAGTGGATACTCAGGATAGTAATGATCCAACTTTAAAATCTATTTCATTTTTGGTTCGTGTACTGAATAATTTGACGGTATAATATACACACATACAAGACAAAACCGACTACTTATTTTATTTGTACAAAAATATATATTACATTTCAACCAAGTATTTTTTAGTTTATTTTAAATAATAAATATCATTTTTTATCAATTTTTTTTGTCACGTGTCTACATTATTACATGAATTAAATTTTAAAATCATCATCATCATTTGAAAGATTAGTATTTTCGTTACTTGTATTCATAAATAAACTGAAACTTTCCATCCAAACTTGACGTCAAAAAAAAAACATGGTTAAAATGTTACATCAATGGATCGGTACCATGGCTAACCCTGGTTGAAACAGAACGAGTAAGTATTACTTTTTTTTAAAAAAAAAGAGAATGATCACGGTTGAAGTGGGTGCGGCGTTGAAATTTATTATGAAAAGCTTGGGCTTTGCATCATTCAGTTCTTACAACGAATTAAATCCGAAACATTCAATTTATTAAAAGATGGATTGAGTGAATCTAATAATTTGTTAGGAATCAAAATTTCTATATAAGCACGCAAAATTCTCGTCAATTTTCAATTTCTAATTTTTATACAAAAATTAACTTTACCCAAACCGTTCAAACTATAACTAAGATTAGATAAAAATATATGAATAAATAATACTTTTTGCAAAAATCACTAATAAATTAATTCACTTTAGAAAAAACTATTTCGTTTGTCATTAGTATTAATTACACGCTTCAAATTTTTCAACAATGAAACAAACTCTTTTGATTGTGCTCTTTGCAGCTCTCTTCTCTAGTGCCTTTGTTGGCACAATGAGCATCAATGGTGGAAATGGATTCTTCAAAAGAATAATGTGCATGTATTTTAATCTATTCTAAAACAGTGTGAAAATGATTTTTTTGCAAATTCACAAAAAATCATCTTTAAACTTTTTATGTAAATTTATATCTTGATATTTATTAACTGTGTGCACATTTATAAATGTTCTAATGGTTGCTCTCCTGGATAAGTATGCGATGCTCAGACTTCGAAGGGCCTTCTTAACCAAGGATCACCATGCAACAACACCGGCGATGACCCGGAATGTATAACTTTTGTTTGTCGTACTGCTGCCTTCAAATACCAATCTTCTGATACTCGTCTTCTTGTAGATCCTTGCCAAACGGCTAATGCATGCAAGAGTGGGATATGTAGTGGTTTCGTGTGCGGATAGATAGATATATTATTAATTTTATTTTGCATTTTATAAACAATAATGATAAACAAATATAATACTACCCACCTAACTTGAACTTTTCTTTAATCTCCATATTCAATTATTCGTGCATTTACTTTCTCCCAGTAAAAAATATATAACATCCCATCATCTTAAACATTGGCACCTCTAGTTATTTATTAAAAAATATTTTAACTATCTAATGTTATTAATGATTAATTATTAAATAGGCGAGTTTTAAATAATAATAATACTTGCTACAATTATACCATATATTGTATATAAATAAGTAATGAATAGCGGTAATGCTCTATTTAATGCCATACTGTTTATAATATTATAAAGGGAGACATTAATCGCTATCTAATACAAAAATTTTTCTTTATAAATACATGAATGCAGGAAAATTTTGTTTTTTGCAATTTTAATAATAAATATCAATAGCTTATTGATTATTAATGAATCATTTCTAAAAAAAAATCACAGACTCTTCGAGTAGAGTTGGATTTCTGGATTTGAATTATTTGCAGTTGCATACCCCATCGATTCAACAACAGATTGAAGTTTAGGACCAATTGCTCCTCCGGTATAGTTTCCATCAATCGCAATCGAATTTTTTGACGTTTTGCCTGGAACTTGTTCATGAGTCATTAGGGATTCAAATACAAGGTTTTAATCACGTGACTAAGTCTTGACGTTCCGACGTATGGTTGTAAACTAGTTTCCAAATAAAAAGATTGACAATTTACAGTATCGTTTTTTACAGTTGTTTGAAATCTAAACCTTTTTGCAAGGAAGTCAAGTGATAAAGATGTTGTGACAGTTGTTAACATTATCAGCTGCAACGTTATATTGAGTGCATGCTTTAAACTTGGCAAAAAAAATCATTCTCCGAAACAAATTGTCTGCCTTTGAGTGCAAAAGTATTTAATTCGGCGTCGATTTGCTTAATGGCCTACCGGTTGATGATGATACTACAAATCTATATAGAATATGCCCTCGAATTTGATAGTAGGTATCAATTCTGTTACTTTTGATGGTTGATATGATCCCCATGACGATAAAAATCCCAAGCCATGTATAAATTAGTGCAATGCCACTTGTGTAAAATCCATTTGAGTTGGTGTGTGATTGGTGTTGCATCATCTTCAAACCAAAAATCAAAATCGGTGTTAAATTCTGCGTCTATGTCGGTAGGTAAATATTTTGAGGGAGCCGTAAATCCGAATTGTTTTACTAATGATTGTGGACCACATCATATCCGTCTTTCAATCCAATCAATATAGATGGTCCTGCATGTATGACCTAAGAAGAAAATTTAGAAAATTTTATTATTGTTTTTAAAAAATAAAGCAAATTTATTATTATTATCATTATTATCGTTATTATTACCTATTAAACCCAGAGTTAATGGTTTAAAGGAGATTTGCACTATAACTGGCTTTTCTAATATTATAGTATTAACAATAATTTGTCCTGTCACATTCCAAATTTGTTTTAACTTTATCACAAAAACCTACTTTGGCACTTTGACAATCAAGATTAATTACAAACATATTATTACCAGCTTGATATTTAATGGTGGGTGCTGGCAAGGAAGAAACACTTGTAATATTAAAAAGAGCTTTTAATGATAACGATAATAATAATAATAATAATAATAATAATAATGGTGCTGGAGAATGATAATTCATTTTTTTAAAAGAATTTGGTGGAGTTTTTGAATTTACTGCAATTTTTTCTACATGTATTTATATTCTTGTAAAATTTTTGTCTTTCAAGAAGATTTTATTTCATTCTTCCACAACATCGAAAGAACGTGCAAGTATTCACGATCAACTTTATTTGTGATTTCAATTAAATCGTAATAGTAATTTTTTTTTATTTTTAAGTAATGACAAATAATCACATTTATGAAACCATATTCACCGATTTCTGTAAAGTTACGCGATATAAAATCAATTGACCTCAACAAAATTTTATTTTTATTTTTTTTTGATATTCATAGATTCCAATAACCGATTGTGGTTAACAAACAGATTGTCACACAGCATAAATCCTTGGATCTGGTATCTGGTACAACGTGATCAATAATAATAATGTACATTCCATAACTTTGACTTTGCTAAAAAGTAGGAGAGTAAATAATATCAGCATTAGCAATAATAATGATAATGATAATAATTATAAATATCATTTTATTTTAAATAAAAGATGCCTTGGGTCAATAGTACCGTGATGTCTATTCAGGGCGGGAGATCACAGTCTTAATAACAGGCGAATGAAAAGGATTTTATAGAAGCCATCGAGCTTTATAAAAGAGTAAACTTTGTTTATTTACAATTATATGGCACCATTAAACGTGATTACAGATTCGTCGAAGATTTTTAGGTACAAGTTAATGATGTATTACTAAACTTTTGACTTTAGTAATTGACGTAACTAAAGTATTGACTAAAGGTAGTTCCTCACCAAGGCCATTTTGACCGCTTGACTAAAGTAAAAGCTCTTGACGTAATTAAAACATTTGAAGTAAGTAAAAACACTTGATACAAACAGCAATAATGGTAATGATAAAACAGAATTATCAAAAGTTCCAAATTATGTGTCCCGGGGACGAATAAAGAATTATTATGTCATTGTGTGTATATTGCAATGATGCAAGAAGAATAATTATCTGGGAAGTTTACAAATTTTATAATTGAATTAGACATTTTAATTAATTAAATTACTTATCTTTTCTGTATATTTTTCTTTCAAATTAAAAATTCCTCTTCTTTTTTACAAATTAAAACCATTCTTTTATTATTAAATTCCATAAAATGTAAAAAATCAAATTGTTTTTTACATACATACGAGTTATGTCGAATTGATTTTTTTCGAATTTTTCACTTTGAGGTTAACTACGCGTAATAGTGATACGCAATAATATTAATATTAATAATGTGTTTGAACTGTCTTTAGTGTGCGAGTTTGAAATAACATAAGTTGTTCAATATTGGTATATACTTAGAAAGACCTCTACATAGCACAATAAGACAGGTTTTGGTGCATATTTTTGTAAGTCTTAATTTTGTTTTCTATTTTTATCACTTTTAAGAATTTATTTTATCGTTGAATCACGATGAATCGATCACTAGAGTTTGGTTATGATAATCTTTAAAGCAATTTTCGTTTTTCAATTTATCAATTAATATTAATAATTAATTAATCTGTTGGGAAAAAAAAATGTACGAAAAATTATTTGTTGCACATCATTCAATTCTCTGCAAATAAAAGGGAAATAATGTAACCGTTATTCTTGAATTTTATATTTTATATTTTTACATAATGTCACATAATAAATTGTTATTATCGTTATCAAGAGAAAGACAGGCTTTTGTATTTAAAATTGATAATGAAATGCGTAATAATTCTAATGCTAATTCTGATAAAGAAAGTATAAAAGACGATTATTTTTCATTAGTCAAGAAAATCAAGGAGCTTTCTGAAAATGAAAAAGAGTATTGTAAGGAAAGGAGCATAGTAATAGTGGAATTTCGATTTTATCACTAAATGCGACATAAAGTGACGATCATATTTATATTGTGCAACCAACAAAATTAATTGAAAAAGTACTTTAAAATACTCATTAATGTGAATAAAAATTACACAAACAAATATGCGTGAAACTTTGCATAAACATTCTTTGGGTGCTTTATATACTGAAAGTTCTTTCCCATCAAGTCCATCAAGTTCAGTTGCAGAGATGAACAAGAAGTGAAGTTTATAGGTTGACAACAGTAAATCTGCATGGAGCTTTCTGAAATTGTCATGATTTTAGGTACCTTTGTTAATGTTTTTATTATATTTTTATTATTATTATTAAAATTTTCCTGTTGACCCTGTAGATCATTATCTCGTTTCAACGGATTTTTCGTTTCAACGGATTTAGGTGGTCAGTCCCATAGATCCGTTGAAACGAGGTTTGACTGTAATAAACAAGAAATTTTGGAATGTCAGTTGGAAATTTTGGAATGCCAATTTTTATATTTAGTAGTGTTTTAACAAGCAATAAGAATGTTTTTATTGTTATTTTATTATTATTTATTATTTATTATTATCATTTATTATTTTTTTTTAGTTAAAAAAATTTTCATGTTTTTTGAATAAAATATTATCAACTTATTTTTATCAATTCATTTATTAACTATGTAGCAATTTTTATAATAAATATTTTTAACATTAATATTATTGGTTTGGTTGCTGTTATTATTAGAAAGATCTCTATTTATTGTTTGAGTGTTGTTATTGATAGCATCATTGACGATTTCTCTTAAGGGTGAGTGAAATGGTTTATTTTTATATGGTCAAGTAACATGTGTAAATTTCTAAAATAATATAATATAATTAATACAATAAAATAGAAATCCGTATACTTCTGTGCATATTATCATATACTTACACCTAATGATTTAACACCACTGCCTTTATCACTCATGTCATCCAGCTCCTGTTTGAAAAAATGGAAATAAGATTATTTTGAATGAATGAAATATATATATATATATATATATATATATTTACATCAGAATTATCCTCATCTTCAATATCTTCAGGCTCTTCATCATCAAAAGAATCGATAAATTTAACATGTTTTTAAAGAAAATGCAAAATATAAAAAATAAAATATATATGTAAATATTAATTTTTAGAAGATTTAAAATGACTTACGTCTGAACCTGTATTTTTTTGAGGTGTTTTATTCGAAGTTGGTGATTCTTGCAGTGTTAATGCCATTTGAAGAACATTGCTTATTTTACTAGCTTTTTGATATATAGTGGGTGCAATATATAATCTCACGCCCTTGAGACTTTTATGACCAGAGATTGTCATCACTTGTGTGTCATCAACACCACTTTGATATAACCAATTTAGACTAGTAGCATGACCAGAATGGTTGACTATTTTTCTTCCATTTAGATTTATACCAGCATCGAAACATATTGTCTTCATGTAATTCTTGATTTTCTCAGTTCCAATTTTATGATCAAGATACCATACATCATCATTGATTGCTAAAATCATAAAATTTATTAGATGCACTAGTTTTGAAAAACTAGCCACCATGAAAAGTGAAATATAAATAAAAAACTAGCCTGAATTGGATGAATTAACTTGTAAATAAAACTCTTTTGTAATACATGGTGTTGGTCGTTTACTCAAATAAGATATAATGTCATCATAAGCTCCTTGATGTTCTTTATCACGTGGACATGGGATATTTAGTGATTCATTATTACCATCAAGACCACCTTGATCATTTTTTTGATGAAATTTGGTGAAAACGACCATATCATCACGTATATTTTTTTTTTGTTCAGTGAGGTCTGATTAGTTTATTTATGTTAATGATTTTCAATATACCATATCATCACGATATCAAACTGACATTTTAACATTTTTGTATGTTCACCATCACGAGGACAAAATACTAAACAGACCCATATAAACACTCTCCTAGAAAGACCTTTGGGTGTATCTTTTGTAGAGGTTGGCACTGTGCAAAAATTCTTTAACCGGTTAATTAACCGTTAAAATTAAGAGTTAACCGGTTAACCGATTAATTTAGTCACGTGGAATTTTTTAACTGGTAAATTCGATCGTTCATTACTTACAAAATAATCACACGCCTGTTTAATTTTATTATTATACACTTAATAGATGCTAAATGATTACAATCAAACCTCGCCACAGCGGATTCATGGTTCCAGCCAAAAAAATCCGTTATTATTATTATTATTATGACAAAAAGTCCGCAGTGGCAAAATTGGTGATGATCGGGCAAAAATTTTTTAATAATACAAAGCTCTCTCTCCATACCGAACCCTCTGTCCATTATATGCATTTTTCTGCTTTTGTTCATTATAGGGAGAAATTAATTATAAAAAATTGAATCGGAGACGGGCGACAAAAGGGAAATTCGTTATAGAGAGGTTTGGTATAGTGCAATAAATTAATAAACTAAATATAGAAATAAATAAATGAATAAATGAATAATACATACGGAAATGAAAATTATTTGTTGAAATAGGATGTAATATTTGGTTATATTATCTAATAATTTCACTTTTTTCAACGGTTTAAATGCTTTAAATTCTTTATAATCTATTTCTAAATCACCTTGTTGAAGAAAATTAAAAGCTATCTCAAAGGAAATTACGGCATCTTTCGTTGAAACTTTAGACATAGTGTTACTCTCAACAACTATTATATTATTAACATCATTTTGAAATCTCTTCGACTATATTTCTTGAATTTTCAATTTCATTATTAGATATTTCATTTTCCAAAGGGAGAATTGCAGTTTTCCTCTATCAATTTTGGTAATTTGGACATTTATATGTCACGTGAATCTGCTGTGGACATATAGAAAGACCTCATCAAAAATCCGTGAAACAAATTTATTTATTAGTAGTAGAATCCGTTGTTATTATGACAAACTTTTTAAATAATATTAATAAGGGGACAATACTTAAATTCGTTGTAACAAGAAATGTGTTGTGGCGAGGTCCGGTTTGACTGTAATATATAAAAAAAAATTAATAAATGGTGGTTAACCGGTTAAAAAAATATCTTAACCGGTTAACGGTGCCAACCCCTAGTGGCAAGTATTATCATAATACTTGTCACTAAATAAATCCATATTTGAAATAATATTCGTAAATTATTAAAATCAATATCACATAAAGTATTAGAATTAGCGAGACACTTAAAGAAAAATTCGATTATTTCCAATTGATTCCGCCATGTAAAATTAAATTCTTACTATGGCTTCTATTCATATATAATATAGCTTATTAATATTACGTAATATATATATATATATATATATATATATGAAATGGTTACCCATTGCAATATAAGCATTCGACCAATTTTATATTAAAAAGACAATCGTAATATCTCTAATATTCGAATTGTTTTACATTGCTTTGCTACACATTGTTCCTCGAGGTTCTTTATATAGTCGAGAACGTGAGAACTTAAGAGGATATAGAGATGTAGAGATTCAATGATCAAATACAAAAAATATTCGTCATAATGTATAGGAATAAAGAGGAATATATTATTATATAATCATAACATCAACTTTAAACATAAGTTCGAAATTCAATAGGTTTAAAAAATAGTTGACTTGATGAGCCGCACATCAATGTTGATATGATCACCACGCATTTTTTCTTAGTCATCTCGTGAAATACTATTTTTCTTTCTGTCATCAGAACATACATTCTCAATTCTCAAAAGCAAGGAAAGTTAGAGTTTCAAATAGACTGTTTTGTTAGACTTGGCGATTTATAAAAAGATGCAATATTAGTATTAGTGATTGCATTCATTGTTGTATTCGAAATATTACATACACATTTCTTTGAATTCAAGAATTTTTCCCATTAACTGATCAATTTAACCCAATATCTCTCATTTTATTATATTTGCCAATCAAACTATTTTGATAATGAATCACATTTGTGTATGTGATCAAAGACTAACTCTATGTCATAATTTTGATTCATCATTATCCTATATTTTATTCGAAATTGGTGTTCTCTTTTTGATTGTAATATTCTGAATTCTGTTACAGTGCACTAATTGTGGAGGCGGCAAAGATGAGGGAAGAAGATGATGATAATGATCAACAACAATAGTAACAATAATATACGCGCACAATTATTTGAGCAAAAAAAAATAAAACCTAAATAATTAATTTATTTAATGATCAAATGAAATTATAGAGATAGTGGAACAAATTATTTTGAAATCAATGAAAAGATGAAAATAATATACTAAAATTTTATTATGATAGAACAGAAATAATAATGATAATGATAATGATAATGATAATGATAATAATCCTTGACCAAAAAAAACTTTTTTTTTAATTTTATTGTACTGCTCTTCTTTGAGCTGCTCTTTTTTCTGTTTGTGCCTTGAAACCTGTTATTTATTATAGGGTGAAAAATACATACATATATATTATATATGTATATCATTATATATATGTCAAAAGTTTTAAGAATAATATAAATAAAATTACCAGTTTTAATTGCAGAAACTGATCTAGTAGATCCACAACTTTCACATTGTTGAAAGAAAATACGATTTTCTTTTGTAAGGATCGTATCTGGTGATTTACATGTTTTACATGTAACATATTCAACTTTTAAGAATAAATTAATAAATAAATAAATATATATACATAAGTATTTGATCTAATAAGAATAAATAATATATTAAAACATAACAGTAATTTTAATATATAAAATAGTACCAATATATCGGCGTAAAACATTTTCAATTTGTTTTTGTTGAAAACGCCCTTTAATTACAAGTCTTTGCATTCCATCAATCGATCCACTTGTTCCCAATTCAGCAAACAAAAATTGAATAACATGTTCAGGTTGTCTATGCATCCTGATTAATAATAATGATGATGAATTGTTAATTGTTATTTTAATAAATTTCTTCAAATTCCTAAAAGAATAAAGAACAAACAGAAACCTTTTACAAATATCAGAAACATTGGCAAATATTGTTTTTTTATTTCCATCACGATGTACTGATGGAGGAACAATTGTGTATCTTTTCTTTTCGCCTGCAAGTTCAGGATTATTTTGACGAAGTATTTGGAACACTCTTCTTAAGAGCTAATTATTCAAGTAAAGAATTATTTCAGTCATCAAAGATTAATAATAGAATGAATTATATCATTGTTTCTTTCTAAAAAGAATTAAATTTTATCAGTTTACTTCTTGATATGTATAATCACGATTTGAATCGTGCCATTCTTCTTTAATTTCTTTTACTTCTGTTTCATTTTGTTCAGCTTCTTGTGCAAATATATCTTCATCTGACTTTTCATCATCGTCCTCTTTTAATTGTTTTTCAAAATCTGCTAGATCTGCTGTCTTCTTCTTTCTTTTCTTTTTAGTAGATGATAAATCACCAACTTCACCACCATCTACGACAACCTCTTCAGCTTTATCTTTCTAATAAATATACATGCAACATATTTTATAATGTTCAGGAGAGAAAAAAAAAGAATGGAATTCATTATTACTATTATTATATGATAATTATTACATCTATTATTTATTATTTACATCAACAGTTTTCTTTTTTTTCTTTTTCTTCATATTATCAAATATTGCTGCTTCATCATCATCATCATCAATTTTATCCTCGGTCCCAACTTGTTCTGTATATATCAATATAAATATTGTCTTATATCATAAAATTTAAAAATAATCAAAGATCATAATACATTACAATTATCAAGAAACGAACCTTTTTTATTTTCTAGATTTTTCTCTTTCTCTTCGTCATTTTGTTCATCGTCTTTGAATGTTACTTTTGATTTGTTTGTTTTTTTCTTTTTTAAAGTGTGGTCAAATGTAAACTAGAAAAATATATTTATTTTACATGATAAATGACTTCTTTTCAATATAACCTATTTTTATTATATATAATAGATAAACTTTTAAATTGTCAATTACTTCTTCAGTATTTTCTTCCTCTTCCTCTTGGGTTTTTTGATTGACGACTTCTTCTGTGTCCGACATTATTATTTATTATTATTTGATTCGACAAGTATTCTGATGATTTTTTATATAAATAGAACTCGACTGCGCCTCGAAAAATTGTGATTTCATTTAGAAAAAAAAAAATTTTTTTAAAAATCCATATTTTTATTACGATAAGCCGAATCACAAAGATGGGATCGACTTATCAAAATTCGGTTTATGATGGATGATTCACAATTATAATTAGTAATAACACTATAAGACGAATTTTATAACCATCAACATCAAACAAATCTTCAAGTTCAGTTTATCAAATTATCTTATAAACAAGATAATTTTATTAATTATGTTTTTGGTTAACCAATTTTGTATCGTTATAAAGCGAAAATTGGTTTACAGTGGTTCGGCTTATCGAGGTTTGACTGTATCAATGTGAGACGCTAACCAAATTGGATAAATAACGCAAATAACTACCAAATTTGGTTAGCACGCGCATCGATTTTTATACTGCGGGACAAATTTTTGCACCTGATCAAGCTTATTATAACATTCAAAGTCCGATTATTGGAAAACTTAATGCTAATCAACAAATCAAATTTATAAATGAATTAACATGTCTTATTTTCATAAATTGATAACAAATTTGTTCTTTTTACGCGAAATATATATAAGTAATTTCTCCAGCAGTTCACAAATAGAAGCTTACTTCAAAGAACATATTGATTGGTCACTAATTTAGAAATTTAGAAAAGATGCAGATAGCTTCACAGGTGATAGGGTTGTTGAACATTTTAATTATAAGGCAGCACTTGAAAAAATAATTTCGTCAGATGATTTAAATTGTGTTAATTTTGAGAGGGGTCGAGTGCAAAACCCTGAGTAAACAGGCTTAGTCCGCTTTGTTTGTGATAGCAGAGTCCGCCTTCCTTGGGATGTGTAAATATTGAAAATTGATTCA